AAAAAAACAAAAAAAAAAAAAAAACTCTGACCAAGGCATTATCCTCAATGCAAAGATGAAACTGCTGAGAAGACAAAACTAAGTTGGCTTATATTATTGAGAATAGTAGACTTGCAGGAAAGTCAAAAAGCATTGTTTTACACCTTTGGCAAAGCCCCAAAGGCAACTCCTGCATACAATGTAACACTTTCTGCACATTTTTATTTTGTATCTACTACCTCTAATGTCTAAAACAATATTCCTGCAAAAAAAGGTAAAGTTACCATTGCTTGTCTTTGTAGATTCTCTGGAGATGAGTAGGACCTCTGGTAGCCTGAAACTGGTGGTGGGAGATCACTGTATTTCATGACGTCCTCATTATAATCTTGTCTGGTGGCATAAGAAAAAAAAAAGGGGGAATGCTGATTAAAATCACTATAAAATCGAGAGAGAACACACACACACACTATAAGTTTCAGTTTAATATCAATAAGGTAAGCTTGCAATGATACACCAGTATTATATTAACTAGGGAAAAGATTGCGTGAAGGTTTCATCACAATGATTTCTTATACTGAACGTAGAAAATGACCTGCTCTTCCTGTGACATACCTATTCACCAGTTTAGACACAAGCTACACTCATACATGACGTCCCTCCCTCCGCATAGGAGGAATCTGTTGCACTTTTTCCATCTAACCATAGAAAATCTGCAGATAATCTATAGGTGTATGGCCAGATTTACCTGTGCACTGCCCACCTTCCTGCTTTCATTCATTTTTGTTAATAGCTAAGGTATTTAAATGCATTTTTAACTCCTGAGTTTAGTGTCACTTTAAGCACTGACCCTATTGATGCTAAACTCTGCCTCTACTCCACAAAAAAAGCCGACTTGATGAAGCAGAAAGCAGAGTTAAATGTTATTATGCGTATGCTGCAGATTCAAAGAGCAGCAGTAGCAGCCTAGGATGCAGTATACAAAACTGCAATCGACTTGGGAGAAGATCAGCTCCAAGCCGAAGAGGAAATACCAACTCACACTTCAGTACAAAAGGACACGAGAATATGTACAGAGCCAAGCTCTAGACCAACTTAAAACAGAGCACGCTTCTATTGAGCCCATCTCCCGCGAAATGTAATATGCCAGAAGCTCTACTGCTTTCTGAGGCTCTGACATTTGGCAGTTGAATGACAGGGTGTGGGCATAATATTGGAGAAATTCCCTGCGCTTGTTTACAGCATGCGCATAGAGGCACAAAAAGAGAGGGCTTGAATGAAAGACCAACATAGGTACTTGCAAGAACCATAAGGTGCCTTAAAGACAAGGTCCACAAACATAGCACTTACAGGAGTACACAAATCCTAATATCAATTTACAAAAGTATGAGATCTCCATTCTAGAGAGAACGCTCACAAGTAGCACTAGAGAAGTACATAAAGCAAACCACTTTAAAAGGACAGACTACATACTAAGACCCAGAAAATAAAATTTAATCTTGAATGTAAATTGAACAGAAGACAAAACTGACTAGGGGCTATACATCCCGGGAAGTGCCATGTTGGTGATCTTTTGTTTAGATCAGCTTTAAATAAACCTTATCAATGTGTGTTAAAGTTTAAAGACCCTCTTTTTTATAAATAGTTTCTAATGATATATGACTATGGCCCATATATTTGGTTTAGCTTTCTGCACTGCTACACAGCGAATGTAAACTACCTTCTCAGTTAAAGAGCCCTTAACCAGAGAAGCAAAAGGTCTCATCATACAGGCTATTAAGAAGAGAGTAAGCATGAGACTCCCTCTCCGAGGACAGGAGTGTTTAGTCCTGAGCACTGACATGACCAGGGAAGTGACATCATTGCTCCCAGGTTGCTGGCACTGTTCATTTAAATGCAGGCTGCAGTGGAGAAGGAGCAGTGCATCAATTAACGCGTCATTGCTATGCCTGATAGAGACCCTGCGTGGCCCCGAAAGCGCTTGTGTAACCGATATGAGTTCGCAATAAATCCACGATTTAGGATTCTATAAGGATTTTGGTGTGCTCGTGACATTTCTGCAACAGTCCTGAGCACTGATACATGACCAGGGAAGTGACATTATTGCTCCCAGGTTGCTGGCACTGTTCATTTAAATGCAGGCTGCAGTGGAGAAGGAGCAGTGAGGGAACACTAGTAAAATGAGCATATAGGGGCCGGGGAGCATGGCTAAGGTGACAGTGTCTTTTTAATAAAACAAAAATACACAATAGGTAACATGCAATATGTGGAGGTTAAGGCAAAAAAACATTTTAGATAAATAGTACAATAGCCTATAATAAACGCTTACTGAGAATATGTTATACTCTTTTTACAAGTTATGATTTTAAGAATTACAATTGTACCTGCTGCCATTAGATGATTGCCCATTACCAGCAGTGGCATTGATTCCTTGTGGTGACGGAGCAGCAGAAATTGTATCTTGAGAACCATGGGAACTTCCTAGAAACAAAATTTAAATACATCAAAATTAAAAGAAAAAAAAACGAATTTATCATTTTACCAAGTATGAGCTACCCATGACATCCACAGCTAATAATGGGGGTTTTGTTAATGCCCATTACACCCATATACAAGCAGTCTAAGAGACGATAGCTGACCTTCACAGTGCACCAGCAATCATCTCACAGTACTGGTCAGATTGGTTATTAGTGCTTCTCACAGTGTTGAATCAAGACAGATTGATTCTCACACGAGTCATAGAGCATTGCAGTGCTCACTACAGCATTTGCCACCAATTCAAGTAACCTCACAAACAAAAACAGGAACTGTAAATGTGTTACCTGGAAGTGTTTATTACAAGACAATTCTAAAGTTTTTTAAATTTTTTTACTTCACAGCAACTGTAACCATTGCTTTGTTAGAGAACAAGTTTGAATGTCAATTTTAAAAGCCTGAATTTATGTCTGTATGAAACAAATAAAATGATATAGAAAACGCACACACATGGTTACCTGATCTGAACTGAATGTTTAGTGGTCTTCCAAAAAGCTTGATCCCATTTAACAAATTCATTCCATAGGGGACAGATTCCTCGTGTTTAAAATTCACAAAAGCAAACAGTTTTGGCTTGCCATCCTTGTCCTTTAAGTTTTCAGCAGGGCCAGCCTGTAAAAACAACTCAAACAGCAGCTCCTCCATAGCCTTGGGATGTAAATTCCCCACAAACAGCGTCCGATCAGCCACTGCAGCGCCCATGTTTAGGATTCAAGTGTAACTTTATGAAGGAGAACTGATGCAATATACTTCCCTGACTGCAGATGAGGCTTAGAGCTTATGAGGACAGTATACTATAAAACAGCTGAACACACAAAAGGAATGCTATGGATAGCAACCTATTAACCCTATAAGAAGCCGGGGGGGGTGGGGGGCTGTTGTGGCTGCATTGACCTTTTAAACCATGAGCCCAAAGTCTCAACAACTGGGAAGGATTATTGCAGTAAGTAGGGATAAATGCAAACACGATGTCTCAGTCTATCCATAGGATTGAATGTTTGTCAGGCATGTGGCAGACTTGTTGGTGTAAGGGATTTCACACATTTGGTTGTTTTAGAAACATTAACAAACCTGTTAAAAAATAATAAATACACAAACATCAGTTTTTCATTCCATTATGCCCTGTTGCACAATTCTCAGATCAGTTACTTGGAATGCGAGTACTGTGTTAAAGTGAAAGTAAACTGCTTCACTAAGAAACCTGCATGCTTGCACATTAGGGCACACTTACTTTAAAAGTGTGCCCTTCTTGAGCGCTGTGGGATCAATCTTGGTTCCTCAGTGCCGTCCCCAAAAGTCCTCTTTGGCTATTGGGTGACCACTGGTGATGCAACTCCTGTGCGCATCTTCAGGAGTTACATTCAAGGCACACAGCCAATTCGCAGCATCTTAGAGGTACTGTGAATGGCCTGAGTCAGTGTGTACACATGCGCCTTACAGTGTTCACACAATAAAAACAAAAATCCCTACCTACCAGTGGTTTTATAACCCACCCACCTTACTTCTGCTTTAAAGCGTAACTACATAGACATAGTTATCTCTAAGTCCTTGATAGCCATAGGGGAATATAATAGGTGTATCTATTATTTTGTCCATCTCTTGTATGTGCATGCACAGCTATAAAGCAAGCAAGAACATTAATCTAAAAGGTAGAGCAGTGCTTCACACTACAAATTAAAACGTGCAAACAAGAAAGCATAAAACAATAAAAGCAATTGGCAATATAAAACAGTCTGTTGGTTTATCCCAGCAGTGATGTCTCCTCTGCCCCATCTGCAGGACAACAGCTAACTGACTGCAAGCCTCGACAAACACATATCGTGCCGGACTCTACCGATCCCATCACTATCCCCTCATCACTGTAACTGTTGTGCATCAGGTAACATTCATACAACCGTACCAGGCCTCTGAAAGTACAATACGCTGATATTGTACAAGAGGAATACCGAACTCTACAGAAATGGGTTCCTGACCTGTAAAAACAACTCAAACAGCAGCTCCTCCGTAGCCTTGGGATGTAAATTTCCCACAAACAGCGTCCGATCAGCCACTGCAGCGCCCATGTTTACAGTGTAACCACACGACGACCTGCCGGTTCCTTGGCGGAAGTGATACGGCGGAAACAGGAAGTGCGAATTGTGGGCGGAAATTAGAGAGCGTGGCGTAACGACATGACGTACATTCAGGGGGTGTGCGTGCGTGCGGGCTTGGCGGCAATTTCGAAGTTCACCTGGCTGTCAGGGTGGAGCTAACAGCAGCATGCAGGGATTTTATAACATTAAAATGTATATAAACCTAAAATTATATATATATATATA